TCAAAAATATATATTATTTTTTTAATAAACATAAAAATAAAAATTCTTATAAGAAAAATAAAAAATCTTTTTCTATCAATCCATTTATCTTTTATTTTTTAAAATTATAAATATTCTTTTCGAGACCTTTGACATTTCTATTTCGATTGAACCTACATGGATCTGTCCTTTCGGAGCCACAGAGCTCCAAAAGGTAGCCGAGTCGATAGAGACCGTGTGGGGGCGTTGAGAGGTATTATCCGCTTTGGGCGTGGGAGGGTGTCCAGCTCATCTAGCCCAGTCGATAGAGACCGTGTGGGGGCGTTGAGAGGTATTATCCGCTTTGGGCGTGGGAGCGCCAAAGGGTTTTATCGTCGATAGAGACCGTGTGGGGGCGTTGAGAGGTATTATCCGCTTTGGGCGTGGGAGCGCCAAAGGGTTTTATCTCGGTGCACCTTGAGCATACGATACGAGAGATTATCCGCCTTGGGCATGGGAGCGCCAAAGGGTTTTGTCCCTTCAAAGGGCTTGGAGCTCTGAAAGATGACTCTAAATATAAAGGAGGCACGACTATCTTATGAGTCCTTGGCTCCCTCACTCCTCAACCGATGTGGGATTAAGTTGACCCTATCAAGCAGGTTTCGTACAAAGATTGAGTAATCTTTCCTAAATATTAGCTATTGCTTCAGTAGTTCTAGTTGTTCCTTGAATTGGAACAGAGATTAGTTGCTTGTCAAAATATGAAAACACAAGGTTGTTTGCAGAATGTGATCTCCATTCTCTTTCTGAAAAGATTTAGGATACAGTGCCATCAACCCATGAGATTTGTGCATGAAATTTATGAATTAGTTTCTGAATGATTTCTCCACTGCATTGACAAGTTCAAGAAACACTGGTCCTGCATAACATTGTTGTGTTAGATTTGGTTCCTCAAACAGCTGTTTGATGTTCTAGTTTGCATGGCCTCTTTCTGCTTACACTGCAGACATCAGCTTCGTTTCCTTTGTTCATGTGCATTGTCTTGGTAATGAACTCATCTGCATCAGCTTCTGCTAAGCAGTGTCATTTTCTTATGACCATAAACAGCTAAACTCTTCCCTTCTGTATGAATTCTCTTGCTTTCTAGATGGATTGGTTGAAGTCGTCTGTAAGATACGAATCCATTTGCAGCTTACAGCTTCCATCAGCTGTTTGACATTCGACTTTGTTTCAGTTCTCGAAGAGTTGGTAATTCCACCATTGTCAAAGTCCACGTTCTTGGCATTCAACTTTGTTCCTTTTTTTGTCTAGAATAAAATTCATCGTTAAGTAAAACGATTAGAAAAGTCTTCTCTTCCATCTGAGCTGATCAACAAGAAGATATCAGAGGCTCAATCCCCTCTCCAGAAATGACTATGCTATAGCTTTCAGATATAAATTGCTTTGTTGCTCCACAAAATCTGCAGTTTATGCCAATCATGTTGGGGTTTTGTAATGGGTTTCTCCTTTGAACCTTCAGAAGAAATCTTAAACTGGTTCTGAAAAGAAGAAAACTTGTAGAAATATGTGAGCCTGTTTCTTAAGACTGCTACATATAGACTTCTTTGTTCTCGAGGAAACGTTGCTGAAAGGCTATTTCTTTTGCTCATTCAGTCATTGGTTTGCTGGCACTTTCAGCCATGAATGGCTGACTGTCATGGTAGAATGACAACCACACCATTGCATTTCAACAGCAAAACCTACAGATCAGTACATATCATCCAAGTTGTACTCTCATTTGTTGGCAAAAGGACTCATATCTACTCTTTGTGGTCCTTAACATGAGATTGATTAGCAGCAACATACATTACAGCAGTTAAAATCCTCCAAGATAATCTGAGAACACATATTGTATGAAGTGATTGCTAGTTGGGCTACTGAAAACAGAAGAAATTTAAATCATGCATTAATAAATGTGTGCTGCTACTTGTAGCAATTTGGTTTTCTTCAAAATGGTAGAAAATTGTCTGTTTCTTCTTTTTTTTTCCAAACAACAAAATTATAAGGAAAAAAAAGAAGGCGATTACAACCAGTGCTTATAAAATCAGCACTTGAAAAAATAGATTTGGATGACAAAGCAAATTTAGTCGACCGACGATTCTTCTCCCGATTAACATGAATTACCTTATCTTTTTTGAAGGATTTTAACAGAAGCAAAATATCTCTAATAATATTTTAAGCTTTCAGAGAAGCAACCATAGAAACAATAATAATAATAATTTGACTATCATCAGCCATCTTTGAAAAATGTGTTCTACATGTGTTTTTTGCTTTGTCAGTAATCCTATAAAGTTCTTGACAACTTTATATGGTTGAGTTTGAATTCAAACACACACACGAGTTCAGTTCCAATGTGTAGGGTTTATGTACAGCAGCACACAGTCAAACCAATGAAACTGGAGGCACAAGGCAACATGGAGCAGGTTCAAAGATCAGACCATCAATGTTGACCAGCTTTTATATTATGACCAGCTTCTACGTTTCTAACAGCTGAATCAATCGCCAAGCAAACAATCTTTTGTGTCTTGCAAATTGTCACAGTAACTCTTCTGATCATGCATCAGAACTGTTCAAAGAAGTCAACCAACAAATCAAGCCAAACATTATTGGCCTTTTATCTCCCAAAAAGATATGGTAGTCACTGTCAGTGTCATCTTTAATTAAACACCAGAAGACAACAAAATGGGAGATTAGACGTATGGCTCCATGGACCATGTCATCTAAAGTTACCTAGAGATTAAGAATCTGACTTGAGAAACAAGCACTTCAACTGGACTGTCAAGCCTTTAATGACTTTTTGGTTGGAAGCACCAGGTCAACATTCTGGATGCCTTTTGACAAGAGACCAGTAATACATCCCCTCGTTCTAACCTTGCAAGGTTATATTTACCACATTGAACATTTTGCGTATATATGAAAATAAGGTTCGCTATATCGTATCGTATTGATGTTTCGATCTGGGTTCAGTATGGTACGGTACCAGTATATCGGGCGGTACATCAGGGCGTACCGAACGATACACCCTGATGTACCGAATAATTTTTATTTTTTTCATATCGTAACAGTGCTATAGTATAGTACTGTAGCACTGTAACGATACCGGGTGGTCCGTGTACCGATAACCTGTCGGATAGGTACATACCGCCCGATATGGATGGTACGCTTCGGTATGATAGACCCTGTATGAAAGTGTAGATTGGGTTTTTTTCCCCTAGAAAAGTAAGTTTTTGGATAGAGTAAATTTTATGAGGAAAAGAAACAAAAGTATTTTTTTTATTTCTTTCCATTAATACCCCTTTTTTCAGTATCATGTGTTCCAGTCCCTCGTATATTATATTATTTTTTATAGAAGAAGGTTGCATTTGCACTGTATTACATGATTAATATGGGGATAAATACAAAGAGTGGGAAATAGGATAGAGCTAAAACACATCGCCTTCGATTGGCGACATCACAGTGCCGGTTAGTGTTTATGATGTTTGCCTGCGGCAGTGTCCCACAAGCTTTTGCCTACATGACATGACATGGCTAGACGACTTTGACGTGACTTTTATTTGGCTAAATTCCAGCCGAAAGGCTTCATCATATAAGGCTTAATTCTAATGCTCAGCAAAGATTAGTCGTCAATTTAGCGTTTTTATCGTGTTAATAGCATGATTAATTAATTGATGGAGGTTTAATTCATCCAACAAATCTGTCCTTTATGCACTGATCTTTTCAAGACACTTTTTAAGTGTGCTGTCTATTTATTCCCGGTATTCTTTACCTGTGATTGGACAGGCAAAGAGATAAGGATGGACCCACTGCATTATTGGTCATGTCGACCAGAAATAAATATAGAGGTGTTATATATATACTTTTTATCTCTGTTTACATATTAATAATTAATTATCTTAACAAGGAACATCTAAAGCACCCAATAAAATATATTGATATGTCAAATAAACATATATAAAAATAGAATGTATAAGATGTTATTAGTGTGCAGATGAGTTATTCAATCGACTAGCTTCAAGTTTTTGTACAATAAGTTGAGATCGTGTGATCAAAATTGTTTAGACTTAAGCTAATTCGATAAAATACTTAATCTATTTAGGTCTCACATTTGCCTTGAATTCTTGGTGGATGATGAGACGACGAAGAAAATAAGCACAAAAGCAAATTTCCAGACATGAGAGAGAGAGAGAGAGAGAGAGATTCGAACAATGAATTGAATCCATCGAGAAACTTTGATACTGTACAAGCTAGAAGGCGACATCGCAGGACAAGAGGCTTAGAGCTTGATGCTTGATATGGACCACCTCGTAGCTATCACGCCGTCTCTCTCTCTCTCTCTGTCTCTCTCTCCCTTGATTTTTTCTCAAAGGTCGAGTCACTGAAGGACCATTGTGACAGTAGAGTAGGTATACACTCACGAATCAGATTCAAGTCCCATAAATGATCCCTATGGGGTTTAGGTGGATGAACACTCGCAATACTGTTTGGTATGAGAATGGACCGGATGATGATTTCACAACAAAAATTCATATCCCGGCTTAGTTTAATATGGTCATTATATACATATATATATATATTCTTCGTATTAATGTATTCAAACCTAATTTTTTTTCACTTTCCTATATATATTTGGATATGTGAATTTTCAAAGACGATTTCATTATTGTTTGAATATAATATTGTACTAATTTATCTGTCAGCGAAGCCCACTCGAGCCATGCAAGACATCGGCTCTTCACGTACGTATCCACCACACGTATATACAACAGGAAGCACACTCGAGCCATGCAAGACACGGGTTCGGCTACGAGCCCAGCGGTGCCGGGCCACCTCACCTCGTTATCTCGGTGACGTCACTCCGTGCCTCAACCCGTACGTCATCTGTCCGTCCTTTCTTCCTCGATGGCCACGTGGCACGAAATATTGCCATATGATCGATTGATTCCAATAGTATCGTCACGGCGTTGCCAACCCTTTTATTTTGGGCGGGCTCCGTCCCTCGAGACTTTTACCCGTTTCTGTACCCACTCTTCGCCCCATCTTCGAGGAAGCCATCTGCACTCCCTTTCGCCCCAAGCAAACGTCTCGAATCCTGCGTTATATATCGACCGTGTCTCCCTTGTTGGATCTCTCCATCCTGCAACCAGATATGGGGAGGCCGAGCGTCCACCAGAAGAGCCCCGAGCAAGCCAAGGCCAAGGCGACGAAGAAGAAGAAGCCCATCAAGGTCGTGTACATCTCCAACCCCATGAGGGTCACCACGAGCGCCGCCCAGTTCCGGGGCCTCGTGCAGAAGCTCACCGGCCGGGACTCCAACGTCGCCGACATGGACATCGCGTGCTCGCCGGCAGGTGGACCCTCCGCGGACCGTGAGGGCATGACGCCGCGAGATCTGAGCTCGGGCTCGGGTTCGCTCGGCCCGTGTAAGGGAGCGGTGGCGACGCCATTTGAGATGTTGGATGATGACGGCTTCTCCTCGCAGATGTTAGAGGACTTGTCGGGGCTCCCACCGTGGCCGCCGCTGTGTTGTGAGTCTTCGGTGGGTGGATTCTGGAGACTCGGTCAAGTGTGAGGAACAATGGAAGGATTCAGTATACCTTGTTGGTCACAGTCATGTCCAAATATACTCTTCTTATTTCATCTTTTCCAACTGATCCTCGACTTCTTTCTCTGAATCTCTGTATCTCAATAATATGGTTTGATTTGGCTGCACTGTCGAAGAGAGAGTATAACAAAGGATTACAGATGAGGGGATGGATGGAAATCACGATAAGAAATAGGCTTCCAATAACAAAGAGTTGGAGAGACATTAGCTGTCTGCAACTGGAAGTTACTTTGATGCATGCATCCAACAACGAGAGAATCCAACGCAAAAATGATGCTACAAGCTTTAACCTGATCCATCCTTGTTGAAACCGGAAGGATTTGGAGGACTGTGCTGTGAGTTTGTAGTGAATGATTGATGGTTACTCACCAAACAAAAGCGTGAGAAGATCTTTGAGATGAACAGCCTTCCGGAAGAAGACGGAAACCATGAATGCTTGAAAGTAATGTTTGACCGGAGCGTCTCCCAGCTCTGGGCAGTATGTAATGGCATTCATGGAGCTTCGTGAGAGGCGCACGAGTGCTCATGCCACACAATCTGATGCAGTACATGTATGCATACAATTGCTTTTACTATAGGGGAAGCCTGGTTCATATTGTAGACATTTCAGTACGTGTACCCTATTATGGTTCAGCATGAAGATAAGAAAACCATATTAACCTTAAATAAATGATACAGTAAATTTATTTGAAGCTAAGATAAACAAATAGAAGATGCAGAAAAACATGAGAAAGAGGGACGGCTGATGAGAAGGGAGAAGAAGAAGAGAAAAAACAGGAGAGGATGCATGGAAAGAAAATGACGACCGAAGGAGAGAAAGCGATCAGATGAGAAAAGTCGTTCTCTTCCTTAATAAACAGATTGGCGTAAATATCTTCTAAAAATAAATTAAGGATATTTAAATAATCTTAATTAAATTATAAAATTAGCTATACTCAAATCAAGAGGATTATATATATATATATATATTATGAATACTCATTATTAGATTTTTTTTCTCGGCTATTTCTTGTGTATACAGTAATTCTCCATCGAATACAACAAAAATATAGTGCAGGGTTTTTAATGGGCCAAAAAGTGGTTCAAGGCCTGTTTTCATCAAGTGGGCATTGTCCGACCGCTTGATCTTCATCGGACGGTTCCATACTTGCCTAAAGATTATGATGTTTCATCGGATGGGACCTTGATGATGTTGATCGTAACTCGATCTTGGGCCGTCGTTTACACGATCAGACGGTGGCAACCAAACTCGATGAAGGGGTGGTTCTGTGAGGATAAGATCGTCATTTTAATGGTTCTTTGGATATTTTCGTAAAAACGTGAGAGATGACGGGCGTTACGAAGCCGTCGACGTGCGGTCGGCCCCTGCGGGCCCTACAAAAGAGGGCGGCCCCGCATTCGTCCGATGGCCGGGGCATAAAGCGCTCGCCATCTCTCGTTCGCGTGACCTCTTCTCCCCCTCCTCGCCTCGTTGCTACCGATCTCATTCTTCGGATCGCCCTGGTGCTCGATCCCGATCCCGATCCCACTGGGAGTAATGGCGGAGCAGCTCACCGACGAGCAGATCTCCGAGTTCAAGGAGGCCTTCAGCTTGTTCGACAAGGATGGGGATGGTCTGGTCTCCCATCTTTCGCTCCCCATTTTTCTCTGTTTTGCTTCGATTCCAAATGTCTTGCTGCCGGACACTGTGGTGGTTCTGCTTCTCGTTGGAGCAGGATCTCGTTGGGTTTTGTTCATCTGATCCACTATCTCTTTTTGGCTCTTTTCCCTTTCATTGTCATCTTAGGGTTCCATGGGAGTTCTAAAAGATATTCGATGGATTAAGTTGTTTTATGGATTCAACTTCTTAGATTGAGATTGATGCGCATTTTGGGGCCTAAAAAAAACTCTTTTATCCCCTTTTAATTGGTATATAATATGATATGGTAGTTTTGCCACAGTAGTTGTCAATGCAGCGGTTAGTGCTGATTTTGATTACAGAGATCAGTTCAGAATGGTAGGGTGTGAAGTTTTTGGCTGCAATCTCCTCCCACCTCGTTTGTGATTGCTTGTAAGTGAGGTAATATTGTGGATTTTCTCCATTTCCACAACATTGAGTTCTTGGGTAAATGCGAAAGCCTTTATGCGTACTGTCGTCATTTAGATCCTCATGTACCGGCGATGCTAGACAAGACAAGCAAAGTGTGATTGCACGAGGCTCCCGCCAATGTGGGGACTGGGGAGGGTCAATTCATCTGCTTTGAATTGACATATTGATGTTACATTCGCTTTTCTGAAAGAGAAATTGATGATAGAATTAATCTTAATCTATATACCCTAATATTATTGGTGATGTATTGATATTGACATCAGGAAACATGAGTTTCAACTCCTCTGGACTTCTTTCTGGATCAGAAGTTTAATTCTCAAAGTAGGGACTAATTGAAGGTAGTAAGAGAGGGTTCACAATCTGTTCATCGTGGTTGTATGGTTAACTGTCCATGTGAGATAATACTCGTATGCATTATTTCTGCTACTAAGTAGGGAGGATAAAGAAAAGGGCATGTGATAAGGAGAAAAAAGAACACTTTTATTCCTTCTGCATTCTATATTTTGATCAGATAGAGTTTAACTGCATAATTCATTAACTAGTAGTAGTCTGGCATGCCTTCCATGAATTCTTTTGATGTACCATCAATCTCAATCATACTTCATTATGAGGTTGCATGCATCGAAGAAGTTGGTTGATGAGAAATTATTATCTACCATCGTCGATGAGGGAGGTAATAGTGAGTCGGACAAAGTGCGAGTAAGTTTGCCTAGTAAAATGATAATTTATATATCTAGTTAAATGTGTATGACGTAGTTCCATGGTTTAGGCAGTTTGTTTCTTACACAAGAAACCCATTGCAATTATTTTACATCCTGATAATTTTGTTGTCTGTGTTAAGAAGTTCAACTGTTTTTAACTTTGTAACCATTCTTTAGAGATCTTGATTGATCACTTGCAGTTTAAAAATGGCATCTTCAGTACTATCCAAAATCACAGCAATCTTGTCTTCTAGATGTCATGTGTTTATTTATTTGATATTGTGCCTTTGTATTTCAATAGGTTGCATCACCACTAAGGAGCTCGGGACTGTGATGCGCTCTTTGGGTCAGAACCCCACGGAAGCAGAGCTACAGGACATGATAAATGAGGTCGATGCAGATGGTAATGGAACGATCGACTTTCCTGAGTTTCTCAATTTAATGGCTCGTAAGATGAAGGACACCGACTCTGAGGAGGAGCTGAAGGAGGCCTTCCGTGTTTTCGACAAAGACCAGAATGGTTTCATCTCCGCAGCGGAGTTGCGTCATGTCATGACCAACCTTGGCGAGAAGCTGACAGATGAGGAAGTTGATGAGATGATCCGTGAAGCTGATGTCGATGGAGATGGTCAGATCAACTATGAGGAGTTTGTCAAAGTCATGATGGCAAAATGAGTCTCTCCAGGATAGAAAATAAAACGCAAAACCTCCACCGGCAGTTATTTAAAATAACTGTTCTTACATGTTTGAAAGAAACATATTTTTGATCATGCACTTCTATCTTGTGCATGGGCATTTTGTTGAACTGGGTTTTCTGATTATTCAAATCAGCCCTGTCTGCTTTTATTTTCAGAATGCTAAGTGTTTTGCTTGAATCAAATATGTAAACCATTCTTTCCACTCTTTGATGTTTACTCTTGCAGATTTGGAATGAGGAAAATATCATTTGCTTGTTCAATTTCTTATGCATCTCTTTTTCGGTTAGTACCAAATTGTGAACATAGAACATGCGATTTTGTTTCCTATATTTAATATTTCAAGGTTAGCTCAAAAAGTTCCTTTATTTCATCTTCTAAATCTGTCATTTTCTTGGTTGTTTAAATGAGGTTATGATGATTAATCTGTATGAATCTCCATTTTGGGTGACTCAGCTCACAGTTCCATTATTCCAACCTCTATTCCTTTTGCTCCTGTCATGACCACTGTGACAAAACTATGAGTGTGTGAGTTATATGCATCATCATCATCATTCTCAAATTTATGTTGAATGACTGTTCCTTTTCTCTCTTCTTTGACTTGTGACTCAATTTTAGTCAAAACCTATTTTCTTTGACATGATGTATGTATGGCCTTGGAGAAGTGATGAATGAGACCCAAGATGCAATTGGGTGCCATCATCCATGGAGTATAAGACCAAACACCTTCATTTACCATTATTTTAGGATTTGGGGTATGGTTGATGCAGAAAAAAATTAGTCGGATTAAATTCGAACATAGTACATATTTACGGTTGAATATTATTTACAATCTTAATGTTAAATGACGATAAACTATCGTGCACATCAGGGTGTATCCATAAAACAGGAGCTGATAAACTATCGTGCCATCGAGGCTCACGATAGCACACATCGAACACGATCCATTGGCAAGGTCACGACGAATATAATCATAATCCATAGAGATATTGATAGTGAGATCCAAACTCAATAGATGACCGGCGATAGTTAAAAGTAAACACTTACGAATGTGGATTTAATCGTCAAGAAATCATACGTTCAATATTCCAAAACATAATTCTCGATATAATATATATATATATATATATATATATATTATTTTATTATTCGAAAAAAGATCAAAATTTTCTTATTTAAACATGTGGCATCGACGGAGTACTTAAGGTTGAGCATTTTTTACTATTGATAATTTTTAAATAATTTTTTTTTTTATAATCTTTTTATTATTAATTTTATTTTTTTTATCTTTGTCATTGTTGCTAATATATACATTCATTTGTAAATAAAAAATATTTAAAAAATAAGAAAGGAGTAATTTGCTGTTTGGGGATATTGTTAATGTTAATATTTCCGGGTTTTGTAGAAGTAATTTTGTAATTTGAGATGTTCCCGTTGGGTATACATGTAACTTTATGTGACATCACGTGCCGCTGACACACGACGGCACTACAGTGGCGAAAGGGACCGACATAGAATAACAGATGGTGAGAGCGCATCTACTGATGCCGAAGAGAGTACCGACCGACCCCTCGTCCGATTCCAGTACTCTCTCTCTCTCTCTCTCTTCTCCCGTGTCTGCGAAGGCTGGTCTTCTGAGGGATGGACGCGTGCACACCGTCTCAGCGCTGCCAGGGGCGGCGGTAGTCGCGGAACCGGGCCTGTGACAGTGGAGAGTAGGCAAAGAGGAGCGATTGTTTCATCACCTAGGCGCCTAAAGTTGCCTCCTTTGATGCTCTGTGCTCAGTTTCTGTTCTGGTGGATCTCTGCGTCGTTTCCACTCGGTGTCGGTCGCTTGTTTCTTTTCTTCTCTTCCTATTGCCTTTGTAGCTTCACTGGAGTTTTTGGTGGACTGGCGGCTGCGGGTTTCGGAGGTTGGCTATGTCGTCGGTGCAGAGGGAGAGGAAGACCGCGCTTGTATTAGGCATTAGTCGAGAAAGAATCACCTTTTGTTGATTCTGATCTCGAACAAGCTTCGGTTCGTCGTCCAAGTATCGCTTGCTTTTGTGGTTATTGTTGTCGTGTGTGAGAAAAAAAAATCAATGTTTGGGTGGTTTAGCTCATCATCTTGCCGTTGGTGGAGAAAGACGCCGAATCGGCGCTCACTCTGTACATCCTCGGGAGAGTGTGCTGCGTTCGTTTTGATTCGGCCTTCGGTTTCACTTTCGGTGATGAGCTGAAGCGCGCAAAGACGAAATTTTGGCGTCGTCCTCTTTGTCTTGGCGCAAAGACGAAATGGGGGAGTTCACTTTCGTTTTGATTGCCTGATTTCTCATTCATCTTTAATCGATAAGCTTCATCTCTCTGAGACGGTATGCTGTTCTGAGTAATTCTTCTGCTCATACTTTCCAAATACTGAACGAAAATGATCATTTTTCTTCCCTTTTCATTTGGAACCATTCTTTGAATGTGATTGTGTAGTATCTTTTGGTAGGTACTCAGGACACCATTCTTCTGTTCGTGCTTGTCTGTTCTAAGCAAGCACGATGCCTGATTCAAAATTTCTGTTCTGTATGTGAATCAGCTTATAAATCATTTTAATGCATTGGTGCTGCATCTGTTCCTATCCAGGGAATATAAACTTGCGTTCTTGTGCTGCTTGTGATGATGGGGGTGCTATTAGTTGAAGACATGGTGTATCCTGGTGGCTCAAATTATGTGCAGGGTGAGAGGAATGTTGGTTATGGTGGCTTCCATCAGGTTTCAGCGGGCGAACACATAACGGGAGAGGGAGATCCGGTTGACCTGCCACCAGAACAATTTGCCGAGGCTGGTGATGAAGATACTAATGATGATATTGATATAGAAGAACTTGAATTGCGCATGTGGAGAGACCAGCTGCGGCTGAAACGCTTGAAGGAGAAGCAACAGAGCAAGAACAAGGTGCAGACTGATGCAGCAAGACAGCAGTCACAGAAACAGGCCTGCCGGAAGAAGATGTCTCGGGCACAGGATGGGATTCTCAAGTACATGCTGAAGATGATGGAGGTGTGCAAGGCTCAGGGCTTCGTCTATGGTATAATTCCGGAGAAGGGCAAGCCCGTCAGTGGTGCTTCCGATAACCTCAGAGGTTGGTGGAAAGACAAGGTCAGGTTTGATCAGAATGGGCCTGCTGCTATAGCCAAGTACCAGGTTGATAATGCCATACCTGGATCTAACAGTGATGTCAACGCGGAGACTCTGGGTCCTCATTCATTGATGGAGCTTCAGGACACAACGTTGGGTTCTCTCTTGTCTGCTCTTATGCAGCACTGTGATCCACCACAGCGGCGGTTTCCCCTTGAGAAAGGAATCCCGCCCCCATGGTGGCCTACTGGGAGAGAGGAGTGGTGGCGCAAACTGGACATCCCTAAGGAACATGGCCTACCGCCGTACAAGAAGCCACATGATCTGAAGAAGTCTTGGAAGGTTGCGGTCTTGATGGTGGTAATCAAGCACATGTCTTCTGACATTGAGAGGATCCGTAGGCTTGTTCGGCAGTCCAGGTGCCTCCAAGACAAGATGACTGCCAAGGAGAGCACAACATGGCTTGCTGTCATCAAGCAGGAGGAGGTCATGTACATGAAGCTGCACACAGATGCATGCGCACCCCAATCCGCTGGCCGTGGTGTCTCAGGAGCCATCTCCTTCGACAACAACAGCAGCGAGTATGATCACACAGGCATTTACAAAGTTAAAGGTGAGGGTGTGGCAAACTACAAGCTGGCTCTTGCTGCTAATGCCTTCAATTTAAGAGCTTGTACAGGGGATGTGATGCCTATTAGATCTGCTCCGATGAAGGGAGAGAAAGATGTAGGGTTCATTCAGAAAAGAACTTCCAGGGAGTCTGAACTGATGATGAACCAGCGGATCTATACCTGCGATAATGCGCTATGCCCACACAACAATTTCCGCAATGGATTTCTTGACAGGAATGCCAGGAACAGTCACCGTTATGTCTGTAAGTATCAGAACACTCTTCTTCCTACAGGTATTGGGATGATGAGCAATGGCTTGCAAGTGCCTGGCAACAAGCCTTCAGTTAATCCAGTCAATATATCTGAACTCGGTATTCCTTCTGATGGGCAAAAATTGATCAACGAGTTAACGAACTTCTATGATATCAGTATCAATGCTAGTAAGAACTCCAGCTCAGGAGATGTGACCATGTTGGAAGGATCAAAGTCTCTTCAGATGGAAGACAGCTTCTTTGATCGCAGTCTATTCGAAGAGGTCAGTGGTGTGGTAGAGCGATCGCTGCCAATCGAACAAGAACCAAGTGGCCAGCCCATTGAAGCTAGTGGGGGTATCAGGATTAGGTCTGGCTTCAACATGCTTGGAATGGATTACTCTGATGCCTTGCATGGGGGAACAAAGCAAGATGGATTTAGCTGGTTCTGCTGAAATGAAATGGTGGAGACACCATGTTTGATCATTTCTTTAAAATGGTGGAGTCGCGTCAACAGCAGCAGATTAGATTTCCGAGAATAAAAAGAACCTTGAATTTGGCTTAGGGTGGTCTTCCCTTATCTCGATATGTAAATTTTTTTCCTTGTTATATATATTGGATAGATATTTATATGTGGAGTGCGCTCCTCAAGACTTGGTTGCAAGTATAGAATGTGGAGTTTGTGTTAGTTTTGAGAACTCATGAATGGATACTTTGATGTTTAGACTGTCATGTTGCTTTTAAACTTGCTCTTGTTCAGATATTTATGGCTTAGTAACTTGTAGTCACATTAGCTTTTGCAAATTTCTCCTTCTTGCAGATCGTCGATGGACGTAATTGTTTGTGTTGTTGTTCCATGAACTGCTCTGCTCCATGGTTGAGCAATTTATCGATGAATCTTGGGTTTGTAATTCTTTATTTATCGAACTAATAATTTGCTGTTATTTTTTCTTTTGTTGGGGTTGGTTGTCTGTGTATCATAAAGAAATTTCGATTTGTCACCGGTCTATCTTTGCTCAGAGGATTTTGCATTCTCTTTGCAGTGGAGTTTTTCTGTTGGATTTCTGCAAATGAGAAAAATCTGGTGTAAAGTCTTGGAAATGTGATATATTTTCAGCTCTTGATCTGGTAATGCAGGTGTTCTTCAAGTTCTTACAACCGCACTTCCAGGTCTTGCAAGGACAAGTTAGGCAGAGAAAGAGTGAAGTTTCTTTGGAGGATCTAACAATTCTTGCCAACTTCTACAATTTCCTGTTCACAGACAGGTAATTTCCTCTCTTTTTGTTGGTGCTGTCTTACTCAACCTACATTTTGTTGAACTACGAGGCCAAAGAGTCTATGAGTCGAGAAGGCGAAGATGCCCTCATCAAATTCTTCTCTTCTAAGTTGTTAGAAAATGTATATTTGATGAAGAGGTTAATAGTCTTATCGAGGTATCGATTTCAGATATCAGACGCTCACGTGTACAAGAATATGACACGACAATATAAAGAAGAGTGATAAGAAGAAGATGACCAAAAAGAAAAGAAGGGGGAGGAGTACTAACTCATGCGGAGACAAAGGGTATGATATTAGGATTTTACTTTTTAAGATTAAAAATAAAAAAATGAGCCAGAGATAAATCCATTTACGACGATATAAAGAAGAGTGATAAGGAGAAGACGACCAAGAAAAAAAGAAAAGGGAATACTAACTCATACATGAAAGAGAGGCAAAGGGTATGATATTAGGTTTTTACTTCTTAAGATTAAAAATAAAAAAAATGAGTGAGAGATAAATCCATCTCTTCAAGACGATATAATGAAAAGTGACGAGGAGACAACGATCGAAAAGAAAAGGAGTACTGACTCATATGTGAAAGAGAGGCAAACGGTATGGTATTCAATTTTCGAGATTAAAAATAAAAAAAAAACCTTTTGAAATTAGATAATCCACGTGTCATCATCTCATTCGCCTCTCTTTCAGATTAGATCATGATAAATGATATCAGAACCTATCTATTCATAAAAGAATTATTTGTAGACGAAGAAGCTAGAGACATCTCAGGACATCAAGACATGATGGATCTCATACGTATGTTGTTAGTCTCCCATTTAATCTGATATCAGAAGTGGGAGATGATATGTTAGATGAGTTATTACCATTATTAACCTGCGAACATTTGGGGTTTAGTGGTTCAAGTTAGAAGTCGTCTATTCCATCATCTACACTGTCAACTCAATGCATTGCGTCATCATCATCTCAGACTCGGACGCGGTAACTGGTCTTCCTGTCCATGACGAGCTTTCGACAGAAGCCAAGCGCTCCACTAGGACTTCTGGCATGCCTGCTTCATCATCTAGGTCGCAGTTACAGATACCCAGATGCTTTAGGTTTGGAAACGCACCACGTTCGAGGTGAGAGAGTAGCAGCTTGTCGTCCACGTTCATCGTCAGCCGGTTCACAGACGGAAACGTCGATGGTAGTGCTCCTAGTTTTGGGCAGTCCGTCAGTACCAGCTCTGAGAGACGAGGAAGGAAATCTTCCCCCTCCGTGCCTGACCACTCCTCCAAATCCGACATGAAAACCAGTCGCAGTTCCTCCAGTGCAGGGAACGCGCACCCGCCGCCGGACAACTCTGATCCCAAACGCTTCACAGCAGGAAGCGCTTCGAGGCAGAGGACCCTGAGACAGGGTAGCTGCCCTAACCGTGGAAGGCACTCGACACGGGGGAATCTGCTCAGGTTCAGCTCCGTTAGACAGGAGAGCCTCTCCAACGCCGGCAACTTCTCACATCGAGTAAAGAAGTCCAGTGAAAGCTCCACCAGATTCGGAATCGAGCAATCCATCATCCACCCCGGCAGCACCTTGCCTACGTAACCCTCGATCCGCAGGACCTCCAGGTCTGGCTGCGGTCGGAGGCTTCCTAGCGCATCTTCCACCGGCTCGGTGTGCTCCCCACCAATGGCCGCGACATCATTCCGGTCTTCTTGTTGGAACCAAGAGGTCAGATCCCACTTTAGTTTCAGCGAACGCAGGCCCCGCTTCTCCCTCAGATTGGCCTCGCCGGCTTCCGCAGCACTCCTTAGATTCTGAAGATTCCCGATATACAATTCACCTTCGAGATTTAGGGTGCCGAGCTCTTCAAGGCCTCCATCGCCATCTCCATCACCGAGCAGGTACGTCGGCAGCATCCGCAGCTGACGCAACTGTCCTAACCCCGCGGGCATGCAGGTCAGGCCATAACAACCACGTATGTCAAGGTGTGTGAGGCTTCTCATGCTCTGTGCGTTCTTCGGAAGCTCATGCAGCCAGTAACAGTCTCTAAGTTTCAGCAGCTGTAGGTTTGAGAGGGAGCTCAACGATTCCGGCAGCGTGGTGATGCAAGCCCTGGAAACATCCAAGTTCCGCAGGTTGCCCATGCGACCGATGCAATCCGGTAAAGAAGAAAGGCGTCGGCAGAGACAGAGATCCAAGGTCACCAGATTTACCAGCTCGCCGATCGATTCGGGCAATGCTTCGAGTCCTGTGCAACTCAGCAGTTTCAGGATCTGCAGGTTGTGGAGACGCCCGATGGCCGGAGGAAGTGTTCGGAGGTCGGTTCGTGACAGGTCGAGGTACCGCAGATGATCGAGATTTTGTACCGCAGCAGGCAGTGCTTTCATGGGAAAGCCATCCAAATGGAGTGCTCGCAGGGGTTTCATGGTGGAGAATATGGCAAGGAGAACTCTCTCATCTTCGTCTTGCTCCTCTGCACTTCGTCCGTAAACATTCTTCCCGTCGAGCACCCTCACACCATACTCCTCAAAAATGCCTTCGGTCACGATCACATACAAAGCTCGCAGCTTCCGCAGATGGCCAAGCGTCTCTGCAACCGATGGCGTCCGTCCATCGAAGAGTAGAGACGCGTAGCGCGAACCTGGGGAGGTGGCTGTGCTGCCGCAGACGTCCACGATCGAGCATTCGTCGCCGGCGACAAACCGAGCGAGGTCGTGGACGACGTCGTGCATTTTGACCAGGCTCACAGCACCATGCGCTTCCTCTTGACCGATCTCGAGAAGGGATCTGGACAGCAACTGATCCACGTAGTGAGATCCCACATCCTCCAGGTCCGCCAGGCCTCCTGCAACCCACAGCTGAGCCAGTGTCTCGATCCGCATCGTTTTGCCTTTTGGGATCATCGCGCAGTACGCAAAGCATTGTTTCAGACGCGGTGGCAGATGACTGTAGCTCAGCATCAAAGCAGGTAGAATCTGGTCGTCGTCAACGTCGGCGGAGGGTCTCCAAATCTCGTTGTCCCGGACCGCCACCCACTGGCTCACCTCTCGCTTGAACCGCATCATGCTCCCCAAAGCCTTGGCTGCCAACGGCATGCCTCCACATCGCCTCACGATCTCCTTGCCGATGGCCACCAAGCTGGGGTTCCTCGCGCTGCTGCCCGACTCGAACGCCCTTCTCTCGAACAACAACCAGCAGTCGTCGTCGGAGAGACCGGCGAGGAAGTGCACGTCGTCCGCGTTCATCACGGACGCGACTCGCCGGCTTCGTGTCGTCACCACAACCTTACTTCCCTTGGCTCCATTGTTCAGCAGAATCCTCAGTCTATCCCACAGTTCGTAGTCCTCGTTCCAGACGTCATCCAACACCAGCAGAAACCTCCTACCTCTGATCTGTTCCACGAGCTCCCGCTGCATCGGGTCCATGTCCGGGAGGGTGAACTCCTTTTTGCTCAGGGATTCTATGATCGATCTCATGAGACTTTTGCTGTCGAACTTATCAGAAACGTAGACCCACATCCTCTTCTCGAAGTGCTGACGCACCCCCTCATCATTGTACACTAGCTGAGCGAGAGTGGTCTTGCCGAGACCACCCAGCCCAACAATTGCAATGACTCCGAGATTGTTATTATGTTCTTCAGTAGAGTCGCCGAGAAGGAAGTCGATGATTTGCTCCTTGTCTTGCTGTCGACCGTAGACTTGGGATTCATCCACCAAAGAGCCTGTTTGCTCTCTTACGCCACTGCTCGGCTCACTGTCTTTGGCGGTTCCCTCCCTGAGGTGGAATGTGGCTCGCTCCTCCGCGATGGCGTCTAATCTCTTTCTCATCTTCTTCACCTTGCGAGCTATCTCATGCCGAACTCGAATTGATTTGGGCGTGAGAGGCAATCCACGCACCTTTCCTTTGGTCAGGGCCTTGACTGCGGTCTCATCCAACAGATCGTCCAAGTCGTAGGCGACATCCTTCAGCTCGCGCAGCCAAACTCTGAGGGATTTCTCCTTCACCTGCCGTGCTTCTGCGTCCTCGAGCACGTCTTGGATTGCGGCGAGGGTGCTCTCCAGCCGCTTGAGTTCCTCGCCCACACCCTTCAGCAACCCCAGCTCTTTCAACACTTTGGCTCCCAGCTTGTCGGACACAAACCTCACGATGCTGCTGGCAACCACCTCTGCCATGGCTCCGCTCTATGGACGGGGAAGAATTGGAACTCAGCTCTTGCTTTGCTTGCTGGCCGATTGATCAGAATCGCCACATCAAGGGAAGAAGGGGAAAGCGTCGGTGGAGTGGAAACTTTCTCGGAAACATGTCCATCCATGCATGAGACGACGACCACACACACCTTGCCGATGGACGATGGACGATGGACGATGGGGTCCGTTGCTTTGCTTTCCTCTGAAAAGTTAGTCGGTTCGACGAAGGTGTAAAGATGCTTCCCTTGTCACTGTTGGTAGTGGGAATTCGCGCATTGCCGACCTCTGTGCTCTTCTTCTTTTGACTTGGGGGCATTCTTCTTCAGCTCAGCAAGAGAAGAGTTGCAGTGGAGTTGCTTAGAACTTACGCAAAGACCCCAAGGAAAAGATGTCCGTCCTGCTCGGGGAGAGCTGCCTTGGAACATCTTCTCTAAAGTGTGTCCATCGTTCCACGTAAAGGAGCAAGCAGGCAGGAAGCTTTTCTGCTCACATTACAATTTTAGGCTGCTTTACCGACAAATTTCTTGGACATCTTAGCAGCAAGAGACCATCAGCGCAACAGGAGAACAGAAAGCAATCAGATGGATTCGGACTGCCATATCTTACAACAAAACTAGAACTAAAAATCCATGAAGACAATAAAGGTGCATCAAGTTGTAAACAATTTGACCTGAATGACTTCTGTTGGAACTGATGTATGGAACAGAACGCCCATCGAAGAGAAAGAAACATGACGAAAGGTCCAATTGTTAAGAAAAAGAAAAAGATGTATCAAGGTGTCTCTAGAGATAAATAAGAACGACCAAACTGAGGATGCATGTAAGAAAAGCAAGTATCAAAAGTGATGAGGGCAATAATGGCGATGGGACGTGGGTTAACGTGAGCTGCACCCGGATGACGCCTCGCGTCTCGATTGACCTGATAGCGCTTGGCCAAAACAGATTAGGACGCCGATCGAGGCATATTAACATCCTACGCGAGTCCGGTCCTTCACGCCACGCCAACATCGATGTCAGACGTTACCAAGAGTACGATCCTGCTCCCTACAAGCGGGCACATTAGGCAATGGTAACCTTCCCTATAAAAACCCTCGCGCTCAGAAAGAAGTAGACGAAAGAGGAGAAGGAGGAAGAGGAAAAAACGAAGATAAAAACCCCTGTGACTATCAACTAACTTAATCGTCGGAGGGGTCAGGTCGAGCCTCTCGACCCGACTTGTGTGCAGGGACGAAGACGGAGCGCCTCCCATCGTACGCCCAAGCGAGAAGTTCCCTTCCGGGGGGCGTAATCCACCGAAGGAAGGTTCTAATTCTAACCAAGAAAGAGAACTGAACGAATCTCTAATCAAGAAAGACATGCATCAGGAGAGTCTTGAGAAATCCAGAGAACCGAAAAATCTAAATATATCGAAAGTGAAACAAGAAAGGGGAAGTGAAACCTAGACATCGTAGTGATTGAGCACTGGATGAATCTTCAATCAAGAAAAAGGTGTCGACTCTCTCTATATATATGAATCTTTAATCGAGTACTCAGTTGAAGCGAAACAAGAGAGGGGAGGAGAAGTGTAGAACTCTCTCTCTCTCTCTCTCTCTCTCCTCCCTATAAGTGTATATAT